AATGGGAATGAAGAGAGAATATAATCACAGAATGAACCAACACGGTAAAACACTTGGTTCTGGGTGCATGCTGGTCATGTTTTAGAAGGTTTTAACTTCCGCCATCATACAAGAAAATGAGGCAGAGAAAACAAAAAACACAAAACAAAAAAACATATATTGTATATTTCCCAAAATTAAATTGAGTATGTTGAAGGGAATCCAGAAGTGGAAAATATATCTAAGACATGTAATTGTAGAAATATGAAAGTCAAAAAGGAAGAAACTTAAAAATGAAGAGGTGGTAAAATACTGTAATTAAGGTGGGAAAAGAGAAAAAATATTGGAAATCTTTATAAAAAATTGGATATAAAAACAAGTTGTACTGGAAAGAGGGGGAAAGGGGGGTACCCCCTAGTTCTTTATACTATAAATCCCTCGACTTCCCCTGGAGCTTTCCACCACTGCTTGGTCAAGAACTCCCTCTTTCGGGGATCCCTGGGTGGCACAGCGGTTTAGCGCCTGCCTTTGGCCCAGGGCGCGATCCTGGCAACCCGGGATCGAATCCCACGTCGGGCTCCCGATGCATGGAGCCTGCTTCTCCCTCTGCCTGTGTCTCTGCCTCTCTCTCTCTCTCTCTCTGTGACTATCATAAAAAAAAAAGAACTCCCTTTTTCCGTGTCCTTCCAGCTGGTTTTCTGGGGGAGGGGCGTGCTGTGCTCTCAGGTGTCTGTGCCTGGACGGAGCTGCCCAACTCTCCGCTGGGTGCACTGCTCAGTGGGAGCTGTTTACCCCGTGAGGCCTTTGTCCCATGGCGGCCCGGCCACTTCCAGGCACAGGGCAACACTAGGAGGAACAACCACACTGATGGCGGCCAGCTCTCCAGCTCTGGAGTGCGCTCCCGCAGTAACTACCACAGTCTCCCAGTCTGCAGGGGCCTGGATGCTCCAGGGTTGGGGAGCGCTGATCTGCACAGCTGGGGGCGCCCAGTGGCAGGAGCGTCCTTGCTGTCTTGTGTCCTCCCGGCCTCCGCCTGTCCCGGGGGTGGGGGAAGCACAGGGCTGTGTCCCCGGCGCCCTGGGCTCCGGGGCCTGTGCTACTGGAATCGCGCTCCCACCCGGCAGCCCCCTCCGCGTGGAGCCGCTGCCTGAGCTTTTCCCGAGGCCCCGCCAGCATGCGCTCCAGCCCTTGACTGAGATGAGCCCACGGTGTTTGGCGCGCTCTCCCCCGGGGCAGCACTTCCTCTATTAGTGACTCCGGGAGACTGGAGACTCCCCTGCCCCTCCTGCAATTCTGCCCGGTTTCCCTGCTAAGCGCCTTTCCATCAGAGAAGAATCTGGTGCGGATTTTTAAAATTCCTGCTTCTCCGGGACTGGGCTTTTCCGACCCGGAGGCTTTCGCGGTGGGGCCTTAGCCCGGCTCATAGCGGGGCCCCTCCCCCACTGGATTCTTTTTTATTTTATTTTTTCCACCTTCCTACCTTGCTAGAAGCGGAAACCCTTCTCTTTGTAGTGTTCAGGCTGTTGTCTCTTTAAATCTCAGGTCAAATTTTAGGTGTTTAGGATGATTTGAAAGTTATCTAGGTAAGTTGGTGGGACCAGGTGACTTGGGGACACTTCTCTTTGTTGTGCCCAAGATTGCGAATCCGAGAAACCACCAAGGAGCCGACACCGATGCAAACACACGAGGGTTTATTAACAAGCTCGAGCTTGGGTCCAAGTATACCCGACACAGCAGAGCAGGGACTTGGACCTCAAAGTGGGTTCCAGCTTAGTTTTATGGGCTGTTCTAGGGGACTTCTAGAAGGGGTGGAGGAATTTCTCAAGTTCTGTTTACATTCTGATATGGGGCTTTCCCTGCCGAGGACATTCTGCAGTTTTTCCTGTAAAGTTCAGCTCTTATTCACAGGGGCCTAAGATGGCTGTACTTGTGCTAATGCTAAATTTGAGGTGGAATGGTCTTAATTTTTCTCGGCCTCCACATTATCCCCCTCTCAGAGGAACCTAAGGAAGGACCCAATCATGGGTCCAGGTTGGTCTCAGAGTGAGCCACTGGGAATGATTAAACCAGGATTCAAACCAACCCTGTTGCTGTTCTCGCTCCCGTTTACGTCTAGCCAAACCTTTTCAGACTTCTGCCATAGATTCCCGGACTATTCCTGAGTGGTCAGTAAAGAAGCAACACTCCTTCTTTGGGGCAGCACACAACCCCCCCTTGCTTGCAAAAGCCTCTCTACAGTTAAGATGGTCCCATCTTTTTAAACCATAAATTGATGGGATGAGCACTGGGTGTTATTATATATGTTGGCAAATTGAACACCAATAAAAAATAAATTAAAAAAAAGCAAGGCTGAATTGGGTGCACATTTTTAAATGGCTAATGGGGATTGGTTCTGGCACGAAGAGGACAGAGCATAAGCAACACTAGTGGGGTAAGTGAGAACGGCGCAGTCTTAGCTTTAGGGAATTGTCCTTGTCTGGTTGGCCTTTCCATTCTGGAACAAAGTCCTTGAGAATGGCGTGTGGGTCAACTGGCTGGACGTGGGTGTAGTGGACCCAGGGAGTAATCCCATCGACCTTGAGAGCGGTGGGAGTGGTCAGGATCACGATGTAGGGTCCCTTCCAGCGAGGTTGAAGTGTCTGGTGTTGGTATCTCCGCATGTACACCCAGTCACCTGGCCGATATCGATGGGGGCCCGGGGGTGACCCAGTCTCGTAGAGGGCCCTCAGCTTAGGCCACACCTGCTCATGGGTTCGTTGTGACATTTGGAGGAAGAAAAGGAGTTGGTGATCATCAACTTCAGCCAGCACCTCAGGTTTTAAATTGGGGATAATAGGTGGAGGAAGACCGATCATGATCTAGTAGGGAGTCAGTCCCATCTTATATGGGAAGTTCCTCACCCTATATAAGGTGAAGGGGAGGAGAGTCACCCAGTCCCCGCCAGTCTCCAGGGCTAATTTAGTTAAGGTCTCCTTTAATGTTCTGTTCATCCTCTCTACCTGTCCTGAGCTCTGGGGCCTATATGCACAATGTAATTTCCAATCTGCCCCAAGTACTAGTGCCACTCCCTGTGTTACCTTAGAGACGAATCCTGGGCCGTTATCTGATCCAATCTTAACAGGAAAACCATACCTCGGGATCCCCGGGTGGCGCAGCGGTTTGGCGCCTGCCTTTGGCCCAGGGCGTGATCCTGGAGACCCAGGATCAAATCCCACGTCGGGCTCCCGGTGCATGGAGCCTGCTTCTCCCTCTGCCTATGTCTCTGCCTCTCTCTCTCTCTGTGTGTGTGTGACTATCATAAATAAATAAAAAAAATTAAAAAAAAAAAAAAAAAAAAAGGAAAACCATACCTCAGTAAAATGTGTTCCAGCAGTTTCTTGGTCACGGTCTGTGCTGTTTCATGTTTGGTGGGAAATGACTCTGTCCATCCTGAAAAAGTATCTACAAACGCTTGTAAATACCTGTATCCATATTTTCCAGGTTTTACCTCAGTGAAGTCCACTTCCCAGTAGGGTCCTGGGCGTCCCCCCGGAGCCGGGTGCCCGAGTTAGATCCATGGGCAGAAGCATTAGTTAACTGGCATGCATGGCAGCTCGCCACAATCTGTTCGGTCTTTGCTCGAGAGTCTTTAATAGTAATCTTTGCATGTCGTATGAGGTCTTCCACCTTCTTGTTCCCATGTGAGTACTCCGATGCATTCTGATAGGACTCACCGTCCTAGTTCCTCTGGCAGGATGATGCTGGAGTCTGCGGCCCTCCACCAGCCATGCAAGCACTGGGTCACAGGCAAACGTTTGATCCAGTGTAAATCAGCACCAGTATAGTTGGGAGTGTCTGGCAGGGTCCGTGCCCCCAGATCGGGTCTCCATTTCCATGGTTACAGCTGCCCCCGTGTATCTGATTCCTTCTCAGACGAAACTGCTGCCGTCCGTGTACCAGGTGGCATCCGCATTTGGCAGTGGCTGGTCCTGGAGATCAGCTCTGATTCCGTGCACCTGTGCCAAAATTTCTTGACAGTCATGCAAACAGGGGTCCCAGTCTGGGTTAGGGAGACGAGAGGCATGGGGTATTGGCGGCCCCTGACAGGGTCTGTCTCCGGCTTTAGTTCTTTGTATATGGCCGGTCAGTGCCAGGCCAGCCCAGTTCCCCCAGCTTCTGCCCACACTTGGGGAAATTCCTGCAGGCAATGGTCAGTGTCAGTCATTGGGGCTGAGGGCATTTGGTGGAGATGATATTTGTCTTCTAAACTCAGGAAAAGCACCTGAATCGGGTGCCCCTCTTTGTTTAGGATTTTTGCCTCTTTGGGATGGAAGTGAATTTGTGCCCCCATATTGGTGAGCAAATCCTGACCTATCAATGGGTAGGGACACTTAGGGGTGACCATGAAGGAATGGGATACCCTGCCCATGCCGAGATCCACAGTTCTTCGGGTAGTCCATGAGTACTGTTGGCGCCCGTGGCCCCTTGCACCCATGAAGTCTTGTTTGCCAATTTCCCTTGGGGTTGTAATAAAACCGAATGTTGTGCCCCAGTGTCCACTAGGAATTCAGTGTGTTGCCCCTCCACTCTGAGAGTTACCCTGGGCTTGGGCAGGGGTGCTGAACCCCGACTCCCCTAGTCATCCAGGTCCTCCATCTCCAAGATCTTGGCAGGGGACTTAGGTCTTTTGTTAAGACAGTCTTTCACCCAGTGGCCCTCTTCTTGTAATAAGCACATTGGTTTTTGTTCAGTTTAGGGCTCTCCCGACAGGGACCAGGGCCATCCTCCTTACCTGTCCCTGAAGCCAGCTTCTTGAGGTGCCTCTGTCTTTCCCGTGGGTCGTCCATGGTTGTGGCCAGCAGGATATTGGCCAGGCTTCAGGTCTGCTGGTCACTTAGATAGTTTTGTTGCCCTTCTGGACTTTCTCTATTATTATAGACTCTTTCTGCTACTATTACTAGTCCTGCAAGCTCTTCTCTCCTAGTATTCTCTCTAAGAAGGCTGCTGGACTCTCGTCCTTACCCTGTCTTACAGAACCATACCTCGGCCAGATTGTTAGGTTTGCGCGCAGCAGCCTGGAGACCTGCCACTGGAGAGTCTGGCGGTGGACCCAGAGTCTCTCCTTACCTTCAGCCGAGTTGTGCGCTTTGGGGGGTAAAAATGGTTTTAGCCAAGGAGGGGAATTCTTGCTCATGTCCTGCCAGACTAGGATGTAGGACACCTGGTCAGGGTGGCCGTCCGGATTGTCCCTGAAGATCACGGCCTTAACCTGTAAGATAATAGGTAGGTGGAAAGTTCCTTCTCGGGGCCATCCCACGCCAAAGGTTGGCCATTCTGACATGCAGGAAGTTTGAAATTTCCCTCTCCTTATGTGAACAGTTATGACAGTTAACAAAGACACAGTAACACAGAGAAATGCACAGTTGGCAAGGACATAGTAACACAGACAAACGTTCCAGTGCGGCCGCGGAGACAAAACAGAAAGTAACCTGAAGGGCTGCAGCCGGCCCTCCTTACAGATGAGGACCCCGTCCAGGCGGGGGCAAGGGGACGTCTCCTCAAGACCCTCGGTCAACGGCCCGCCAGCGCGTCTGCCTAAGCCAATGTCGACCCAATACAGATTGGAATTCTTACAGGTAAAAGTACAGTGTAGAGTTCTCAGAAAATATGCGCACAAAAAGTGGAAACAGTTGAGTGCACTCACCACGCATGAAACCCTCCGGATGGGGTCTTGGGGGTCTCTCGGATCCCGGATGAGCCCCCAAATGTTGTGCCCAAGATTGTGAATCCGAGAAACCACCAAGGAGCCGACACCGATGCAAACACATGAGGATTTATTAACAAGCTTGAGCTTGGGTCCAAGTATACCCGACACAGTGGAGCAGGGACTTGGACCCCAAGGTGGGTTCCAGCTTAGTTTTATGGGCTGGTCTAGGGGACTTCCAGAAGGGGTGGAGGAATTTCTCAAGTTCTGTTTACATTCTGATATGGGGCTTTCCCTGCCGAGGACATTCTGCAGTTTTTCCTGTAAAGTTCAGCTCTTATTCACAGGGGCCTAAGATGGCTGTACTTGTGCTAATGCTAAACTTGAGGTGGAATGGCCTTAATTTTTCTCGGCCTCCATACTCTTCCGCCATCTTGCCCCACCCACTCAAGACTTCAGATTTTATTTATTTTATTCATGAGAGACACACCGAGAGAGGAGCAGAGACTTAGGCAGAGGGAGAAGCAGGCTCCATGCAGGGAGTCCGATGGTGGGACTTGATCCTGGGACTCTGAGATTACACCCTGAGCCAAAGAGAGATGCTCACCATTGAGCAACCCAGGCGTCCCGGATATCAACAATTTTTATAGGTCATTTATTGAGCATTCACTCTACTCAGCACTCTACATGCATTATCTCATGCAATCTTTCTGATAACCCTAGAATGTAAGTATGATTATTCCCATTTAATATAGAACCAAATCAAGGCTTATGGTTACTAATATTCTGAACCCAGTTTCAATGTATGTGGGTTTTTCCACACTACCAAGCAATTCTGTAACACCAGCTGAGTGTCCTACAACTCGGTTCAATTCTGACCCTATCTACTTGAAGATAGTATCAGATCCCACATGTTATGGGCTCAGTCCCACAAGACTCCCCCCTTGCCTCTTTTGAAAGTTCAGGTTGTCCCCTGTGCTTTTGACCCTCTGACTGTAGGTTGGAGACTCCAATGGCCCCCTCATTGGGCTTGCTTAATTTGCTAGGGCAGCTCACAGAATACACAGAAATATTTTACTTACTAGATTATTACCAATTTGTTACAAAAGTATATAACTCAGGAACAGCCAGATGGAAGAATTGCATAGGACAAGGTATGGGAAGGGGCAGGGAGCTTCCATATCCTCTCCCAGCCCACTGCTCTTCCAGTACTTCCACATGTCCATCAACCCAGAAGCTCTCTGAACCTGTCCTTTTGGGGCTTTTCTATGGAGATTTCATTACAGAGGCATGATTGATGAAATCATTGTCCATTGGTGGTGATTGATTCAACCTCCAACCCTACCCCTCCCCAGAGCTCAGAGGGGTGGGACTGAAAGTCCCAAACCTCTAACTACATGATTGGTTCTCCTGGCAACCAGCCCCCAACCTTAGGTGTGGTCCAACATTCACCTCATTAATGTAGCAAATGACACCTTCATTGGTCTTATCACTTAGAAAATTCTGAGAGTTTTAGGAGCTCTGTGTCAGAAACAGAACACATACCGAGTCTGTAATTCTTATTTTAAATCACAATATCACAGCTACATAGCCAGGAAGTGGCAGGACTGGGAATCAAACCCAATCTCTCTGATTCCAGAACATACACCCCTATTTGCTAAGATCTATCAGGGAGCTGGCTGGAAGGAGAGACCTATGAATAAAGGACACCTCATTTAGAATGGAGCTGGTAAGCCAGAAGTGAAAACTCTCATGCTCTACTGAGACAGGGAAACTAAAGGGACCCCACAAAAAAGTGTTTTTTGCTCCTTTTCCTGCTTCTGGCCCTAGTACCTACACCCACACCTCACATACGCCTTATAGAACAGATAATATATGTCCTTTTTGTAAAAGTCACGGACTTAATGATCTCTTCGGAGTCTTCCAGCACAGCAGTTAACATCTAAGGAGTGACCAGGTGGGATTATCATGAATATTTTCCAAGATCACTGATTCAGCAAGACCCCTGGCCCAAGAACATAAGTGACTTATGGAAAACATGTAAACACTCACTTTTGTTCCTGGATTCCTGAGAAATGTGCACTGACCATTGTCCTCAATAAAAACTCCATACCCCAAGCAGAGAAGGAGACTCTTCTTTCCTGAGTCTCCCAAATGCTCTGTCCATACCTACACTATATCTTCAATAAATTCTGCTCTCACTTCCTCTCAGCTCATGTTTATTTCTATTCTGCATGAAACCAAGGACACTCTTGGCTGGTCCTTTGGGACCCCCTCTGGGGTCCTTAGACCCAGCCAGCCTCTATCAATACCACTCATCTTCAATTGCAGACCCCAACAGGAAGGAGACTGCTTTTCTCCAGCAGGAGAAAGGAAGAATTTCTTCTTGAGCAGCAACAAGCTCAGCCCAGTAAGAAAATATCACAACTCAGCTGATGAGAAATCATTACCACTCTAGCTTTCCTCCAATGGACAAATGAAAGAGACCTACAACTGCCTCCATTTTGAGCTCAGTCTGTACTTTCTAATTAAGTTCTTCTTTCCAGCTTTTCTTCTAACTCGGGGAAAAGACCAAGTGGGGCAGAACATACTGTAATTGGAACCAAAACTACTCTCTCAAGCCATAGTGTCCGTCCCAACATCAGCAAGACCCTACATGATTGATTCCAAAACTGTGATTGACCTGACATTTACTGCCTAGCTGCATATGCCCACTGACCTTTGTCCCATTTTTCCTTATATAAAATCTAGAAGTAGTTTCAGCACTTTGGAGACAGTCTTTGAGACATTAGTCCACTGTCTTCCTGGCATTGGCCTCACTGAACCAAATTCCTTTCTTGTTTCACCATCACTCATCTCTATGCTTTTGGATTTTGTCATTGGCAAGTGGCCAAGCCTGGTCTGTTTGGAACCTCCAGAGCCAAGTGCTCTTGCATTCCTGTGCTCTGATTACACGATCATTCAGAAGACAACCTCCCAGAATCTTCTTTTTCTCCTTAAAGTAATGTTCCTTCTCATTTGATCTCTGGACTTGCCTCTGGTTTGCTATAGCTACTGTATCCTGAATTGCAATTCCTCTGCTATTCCTGAATAAACCCATTTTGCTGGAAAAATAGCTGGCTGCTTTACTTTTAAGTTTGGCATTATGGTGCATGGTGCCTGGCAGAGCTCCCTGGCTTAAAGGGCCAGAAGTGGAACAGATGGTTATTAGATGCTGGAAATATTTTTATCATGTCAGACTGGCGAGGTTGGAATGTGGTGAGATCATCCACTTGTGGCAGGGCCAGGAAGAGAGCTTCTAGGACCCAGGAAGAGCTGAGAACCTGAGCTAGGAAAGACCTGAGCATTCTCCAGCTTCAGAGTATATTGTAATATTTGTTCTATAAATGGACTGAGAAACATTTGGGTCCTATGAAATAGGAATAAGTGGGCAGGCTCCTCAGGAGCTTGGGCTTCTGAAAGTGAATAAGCTACATCTTTTGGCTATCTCAGTAGGCAAGAGGGAATGAGATGAGGAAAAAGCTGTCACAGAAGCCATGTGCCTTCCTATAAGCCAGAACAATAGGCAGCAAACCTGACTTTCTTCAAAGAGGATAAACTACCTTAATTTGCAACTAGTGACTGGTTCAGACAAAGTGGATAAAACTCATCTTTATTTTCTTTAAACATGTAAAACTACATGATGCTATATGATATATTGATTCATTTTCTCTCACCACTCTTTACCTACTGTGCTCCACTAGATACTTTATGGTGGCAGATCTCTTTCATTGCTATAGCATTATGCCTTGAATACTGCCTAGCATGTTGTAGGTCTTCAATAAGTATCTGTTGAATGAATGAAGAAACAGAAGAATGGATCTTGGAGGAGGGAGGACAGGGTCCCATAGTCATAGAAATACTTATAAGGAACAAAGAATAGTTAGGAACGTAGACTGGCACTAAACTATTTTGCTTCAAATCCCATCTCTGCCACTTATTAACTATGTGACCTCGGGTAAGTTGTTTAACTTGTACCTTAAATTCCTAATCTGGAAATGGGGTAATTAGTATCTATTTCATAGGGTTTTTGACAGTATTGAATGGGCTAATAGGTGTAAAACACTTAGAATAGTGCCTGGCACATAATAAAAGCAATATAAATGTTTGCTATAATAACTATTATTATTTTCAAAAGGTTAGTGCAGGAAAATAAGTACATGGAAGCAGGCAGGTTAACATTCTCCAAGTAGTTGCTATATTCCAGAAACTCTTTTCTATGAATTACTTCACTACTTTGTTGAATCCTCACTATAAGGTTATGAGATAGGTGGAATTATTATTCAATGTTATAGATGAGAACACTGCATCCCAAGTCATGCAAAGCTGAAACCGAAACCTTGTACTGTGCCCAGGCGCTTCTCATTTTAGAGTACTAACTGCAAGCTCCAGATCATAAGAAGGGGCTGTATCTGTTTTTATTTATAATTTTATTCTCAGCTGCTAGTAAACAGTGGGTACTCAAAAATGGTTCATGGATTTAAATGAATGATAAAAAATAAATGCTTTTAAGAGCAGTAGAAAGGGAAATTCCAACTAAAAGCTAGGGAAGAGCCTAGGCAAGCTATGGAGGCTGCCGGTCTGAAGTAGAACCAGAGCAGACCAGACCAGAGTGGGCAAACTGAGCCTGCCCACACTGCAATGCAGACAGCCCCTGGTTGTTACAGTGCCCCGAGGAAGCCACTTTGGGTTCCTGGTCTGTGGCTAGAGATTACAATTATTTTTCTTTTTTTTTTTAATTTTTATTTATTTATGATAGTCACACAGAGAGAAAGAGAGAGGCAGAGACACAGGCAGAGGGAGAAGCAGGCTCCATGCACCGGGAGCCCGATGTGGGATTCGATCCTGGGTCTCCAGGATCGCGCCCTGGGCCAAAGGCAGGCACTAAACCGCTGCGCCACCTAGGGATCCCACAATTATTTTTCTTAATTAAAAAGAAAATATAAGTATATGAAATACATTCTCATTTTAAAAATGCACACAATAAGATTCAGGGAAAAAATGGTAGAGTAGGAGGACCCTATGCTCACCTCATCTCATGGACATAACTATATAATGCCCACATCAACAAAATTAAAAGGCAACCTATGGAATGGGAGAATATATTTGCAAATTACATATCAGATAAAAGACTAGTATCCAAGATCTATAAATAAATTACCAAACTCAACACCCAAGAAACAATCCAGTCCAGAAACAGGCAGAAGACATAAACAGGTGTTTCTCCAAAGAAGACATACACATGACCAACAGAAACATGAAAAAATGCTCCATATCACTTGTTCATCAGAAAAATACAAATCAAAATCATAATGAAGTACTACTTTATACCAGTTAGGATGGCTACAATTAACAAGACAGGAAACAATAAATGTTGGCAAGGATGTGGAGAAA